CCTTATTTTCTCCTCTGTCAGTGCAGTCAAAAGCAAATGCAGGAGCCACCGCCATCTTAGCATGCATAGCAGCTTCCAAAGCTGCCATTTCAACAAAGCCAGCCCCCCGATTCAAACACTACTTCCACCTTCTGCCAAAATCTGACAGGAAAAAACCTCTCCACATTACGCAAGTAAGCAATGACGATGACTCAAGTAAAGGAACTGCTGTTCACACAAGTAAAAAAAACTTTTGTTCACATTTTCAGTTTCCTATTTACAAAATACAATTTTAAAAAAAGGACAAAACACTTTCATGACATACATACTTTTTAACCGTTTTACAAAAATATACTTTTCTAAACATAGACCAAAATACAAAAAACACCTAAATCATTTTAGAAAACACCTAAATAAATTTACATGCAACCTAATTTACATTGCAACTAAATATTTACGTAAATATTTACCGTAAATCACCAAAATTTACGTAAAATGAATGGTGTGTAAAATTACTCTTTTTCGAGACTCAGGGAACAGAACCGTCAACCGGAGTTCTTCTTCAATGGGATTGTTGGTCACATCCGTGCAGATCACTATGGGTGGATTGACTCTTGGGAACAATCCACCCAACTCGCCAACTACTGGCGTCGCCATTTCAATATTCCTGAAGTGGACCATGAGCCATATCAATGGCATTACTATCCACAAGCGTCTGACAATGCTGATCAACCTGAAGGAAGCCAAGAATCTCTTCATGGATCAGGGATGGACGACACAGACTCCATCACGGCCAATGTGGGAGTGGCATCGGTACCAAGTCAGATTCACCAACTGGCTGCAGTCCTCTGGGACATTCTCAACAATGACAGGGAATCCAATGCTGCGATCTTTGAGAAGCTTGAAAATCCGGGCGATGACTTGAGCACCAATCCGGTCCAGGTCTTCACGGCAGCAGACTTGGCCCACCTTGCTAGTCATTTAGCCCAGACAACTCAAGTCCTTTCTCAGCAAGCTCTGAACATGGAAGAGTTGTCCGACATTGACGATTGAGGACAACCTGAACTTCCTGCCGACGCTGTTCTGAGCTCACCGGATAATTCGAATGCAGAGCTTCTCCCTGTGTTTTGATCTTGCGTCAACCGCTGTATCCTGTTTCAGGGCCTAGATAAGAGCTTCGTTAGCAACTCCGCAGTCGCTAAAACAGCCTCGCGGCAGCGAGGCGTGTGTGTGGAACATCTGAAAAGATGTAAAACTTCTAACTTGCCTGATGATTGTGCAACGATCGATTTCATTATTCACGTCGATTGCTTTTCCGTTTTACTTGATTTTCAAACAACAGCAGGGGGTGCCGGGGGCACTGATGAGACCGGCACTAACAAAGACACTCATCAGTTGCCTGTGATATCGATGAGGACGCTCATCGACGTACCTGCTTCAATTTCATGTCCAGTTTCTGCAATGGGACGTGGCTAACCCAAGAACCACCAAGCCGTTTCCAAACAATCTGTTGGTTTCTTCTGTTTGCACGGTTTTCGCAATCTGAATTACTGCCAACTTCGTCAGATGGAACAGTTGCATCTAGCAAGGACGTAGAAAGAATTCCTCTACACTGTTTCTCACGCCTAGTCATTCACCATTTCCTGTCAGGTTTAACTGAAGTGTTTTTGCACGTGCGATGCATTCCACATCAGTAATTCGATAAGATATTTCTGAGCAAGTGTGTGTGTAACATCTGAATAGATGTAAAACTTCTCTCTTTCTCTTCCTTCGGTCCTAATCATAATACCAATGCAGGGGGCACGGCGCCATTTGTCCTAGCCGTGCCAACGAAGCTGTGGACATTTGGTGGATGAGATACTGGACGCAGTATCTTGTACCTGCACGTGGTGATTCTATCCGTCTCGCCACGAAATGGAACCGTAGTGATGCACCTGGATGCTGTTGCATAGCTGGTGGTCACATCAATTGGTGATTCTGTCCGTCTCGCCATACAATGGAACCGTAGTGACGCACCTGGATGCTGTTGCATAGCTGGTGGTCACATCATTTGGTGATTCTGTCCGTCTCGCCAAGAAAAAGGAACCGTAGTGATGCACCGGGATGCTGTTGCATAGCTGGTGGTCACATCTTTTTGGTGATTCTTACCGTCTCGCCACGAAATGGAACCGTTTTCACAGTGTCTGTCAGGGTTATAACGTCGTAGGTTAATTTGTTTCCCATCTAATTTGCATGTTACAGGATTCAGTTCCTGCCGGATCACTACAAGGATCCATTCTTATCTAGTGTGTGCAAACCGTTGTGAAACCGTATAATTTAACTATGCAGGGATCCCACGGGTCTGATTCCTGGCGTGGGCCAACGAAGCTCCAGGTATCAGACTAGGATATCAGGAAGGGACGCTTTCCTGACGTACCTGCAATTTCGGTTTGAACAACGTGTTTTTCCAGCTGTGCCGTGTTTTCAATTGTAGTAGGTCATCGTTCTGAACCAGCGGATTGCGCCATATGTCCTCATCCTGCATGAAGGCGACTTATAGGAAATCAGGCGACGGCAAGTTCTACATTCATCGTCATCAAACAAAAACCTAAGCAGTGTGTGATGAAGTGCGACAAATTCTGCTCCTCTCGGGCACAACCCTCTGTGGAGATCGTGCGTGTCGGAAATGCTAGCCATTTTTTTTGTCTGCGCGTAACCTTGTACGGAGTTGTGGTAAATGCCTTTCATGTTTCTAAAAGCTTCTCTGTGAAGAACGTGCGTCTGTCTGTAAAGCTGCTCTGAGCATGTGTAAAAGCTTCTGTGTGTCAAGACGTCTGGCTGCAAAAGCTTCTGTATGTCAAAGCTTCCCTGTGTCAAAACTTCGTTGTGTAACAGGGCCTCTGTGTGGAAAAGTGTCCGCGTGTAGCTGCATCTGTGCGCAAAAGCTTCTTTTGTGTAAAAGCTTTTGTGTGTAGTGTAAAGGCGTCCGTCTGCGGAAGCTGCAGCTTGTAACGATCTCTCCGTGTAAAAGCTTCTGTGTGAAAAAGGTGTCTGTGTGCAATAGCTTCTGTGACCTTCTGTGTGAACAGCATCTGTCTGCAAGGACTTCTCTGCGTAAAAGCTTCTGTGCGTAAAATGCAGGTTTCGGTTTGCAAAAGCTTCTGTGTGCAACAGTTTCTATGTGTAGAAGTGTTTGTCTGACAAGTAAAGGGCTTCTGTTTGTAAAGGCTTCTCTGTAAAAGCTTCGTGTAAAAGCGTCTGTGAGTAAAAAAATGCGCGAAAGCCTCTGTGTGTAGAAGCTTCTCTGTGTACAAGCTTGCGTGTGGAGGCATCGTGTGTAAAAGGTTCTGTGCCTAAAAGCTGATCTGCGTAAAAGCTTCTCTGTGTATAGGCGTCCCTGTGAAAACACCCCGGTGCAAAAGCAAGCGTGGCTGTGTAACAGCATCTCCGTAAAAGCTTCTGTGTAGAAGCTTTTGTGTGCAAAGGCACCTGTCTGACTGTAAAAGCCTCTGTGTGGAAAAGCGTCCGCGTCACTGCGTCTGTGTGAAAAAGCTTCTGCATGTGAAAACTTGTGCGTGTAAGGGCGTCCCTCTGCGAAAAATGCTGTGTGTAGCCATCTCTTTCTGGTAAAGGCTTCTCTGTGTAAAGGCGTCTGTCTGTAAAAGCTTCTCTGTGCAAGAGCCTCTGTGGTGTAAAAGCTTCTGTGGAATATCAGAAACATTGAATGCAATTCCTTAGTTCGAGCGATCGCCACCCTGACACACTATTCTGACATAGATTCTGACATAACATCGAGATATATATATATATATATAGATATAGATATAATGAAAAGATATATCTTCTGACAATCTATTGGACATTCTATCTGACATCCCTTCTGGCTATAACTCCAGCATACTTCTGGCATCTGTTCTGACATTATTCTCTTTGGCGGCCTATCTGTATCTATTCTGGCATTGATTCTGGCATATGTTCTGACATTCGTTCTGGCATTCTATCTGGCATCTATTCTGGCATTCTTTCTGGCAGCTGTTCGGGTCCAGGCCGTGCACACTGCATCTGGACCTCGCGATGGGGTTCGGGTCCAGGCGTGGCCCAAAAGGTGAATAAGTTGAGCAAGGAGATGCACCTGTGTTAAAACCTGGAGACCTCTCACCTGGCAGGTGGGGAGCAAGACTCATAGAATGCGCTTCGCTCAGGTGACCCTGCATTTTGGAGATGTGGTTCTTCCTGATTGGCAATGTCTACCTGGCAGGGATGCCAAAATGCATCTTTGAACTCTGTAGGTCAAAACTGAGTAGCAGCAAAAATGTTTTGCCAACATACCTAACCCAGCTATTCTGAATACGGTTCTGATTGTCACTCTAGTGCCAGCCCTGGAGCAAACATACCGTGGGGAGAAAAAGTGCATCAAGCTGTGGACACATGATATTTCATCTCCATCAGTCTTCAGTCATCATCATCTTCTTCACCGTGCATTGTTCAAATGGTTCATCATTCCTCATTATATCTTCTTTTTTGTCTTATCTTCTCGTCTCCTCCCTTCTGCTTTCTTTCGGGCAATACTGTCGTCCTAGTGCATGTTCTGATCCTGTGCCACAGCCAATCGAGCCAAGCATGTTTCGTTGTGCAGCCGGGATACTTCCTCTGCCACAGTCATCATCTATACACCCATTTGTAGGGATAGCATGTGGAAGATGTGTTTTCACGCTATTTTTCCGGCGCTGTGGTTTTCTTGCTGGGATCCGGCTAAAGCAGCGCAAGTTTTGCAAATCATCCGGGGAAGGCAAAACCTGGCCAAGAGAAAGGCTTTCAGGCACACGATGAAGAAAATCATCTGCAAGGGCTCTGCGCGGCACCTTTTGAATGAGAAGCTGCCACCACGTCTGCAGCAGCTTTTAACCAAATAGGATCTTTTCGCAACTTAGGGCGCTCCTAAGGCCGTCCTCCGTTGATAAACAAACCTTATTTGAACATATGTGAGCTACTTTGCCGTCAGTGAGCCATCCAGTACCAGACTATGAGACTACAGTAGGAGCCTGGGCGATGTCATCCGCTTCCACGGCTTGAGAGCTGCGCCTGCGTGGCTATGAGAGCGGCTCTGCGAAACATAAAGGAGATCAGCAAATTGCAAAAAACTGAAGTTGGATCGACAAGCTGAAGACCAAAAAGTAGAGCAGAACCTATTCTGGCTCCAAGCGTCATGCTTACCAGCCATGGTTTTGAGTGCTCAGGATGCCATGGAAAGATTTTAAGCAAGACCTTCAGTAGCTTTAGATGTAACTTTTATTCTGGCATACATTTTTTCCTGGCATGATATCTAGCATTCTGTCCGACAAGTTGTGTGGCTCTCTAATTTCTATCTTGTGTTTTTTCCGACATTCTGTCTGAGTCTTGATCGTCCATCTGACATTCAATAATGAAACCACGTTAGATAATGTTACGGTATAAACCGCCTCTCTTACAACTTCCCCCTGGACCGCCTCCAGATCCAATCCACCTCTGGCCTGGCACTAGCTGTGCGCTGCTTCCAGCGCACTCCTTTCACTGGCCGCAGGCCGCCCAACAGCACCTGGACAGATCTGGACCGATCTCGACAATGAAAATACGCTGGTGCCAGCTGTCGGTCAACCACCGGATATAGACATCAGGGTCAAATCAGACATGTTAATAAGTATATCCCAAGGGATGGGGGCTAGAATGTGCACATCCCAAAGAGTTGTGTTACATGAAACGTCATTTCGCTAATTATTGAAATGGAATCCCATCAGGCTGCTTTTTCCCCAACAGCGTAAGCTAATGGGGCCTTCAGTCCAGAATAGCTCCGGTGTGCACTGGTGCAGGCGCCGCGTCAGGTTCAACGATGTTCCGGAGAAGGTTGCGAAGGGTCCGGAGAAGGTCTGGGAAGCTTTGGTGCAGAGCCAGGGAGATCCCGAGAAGGTTCCAGGAAGCCTTGGTGCAAAGCCAGGTTCAACAGGGTTCCGGAGAACGTTCCAGTCAGGTTCCGGAGAAGGTCGGGGAGGGTTTGGTGGAGAGCCATGTCACGTTCAACAGGGATCCGGAGAAGGTCTGGGAGGCTTTGGTGCAGAGCCAAGTCAGATGCAACAGGGTTCCGGAGAAGGGTTCCGGAGAAGGTTCCGGGAGGCTTTGGTGCAGAGCCAGGTCGTGAAGGTCCAGCATGGTTCCGCAGAAGGTTCCGGAGAAGGTTCCCGGACGTTTTGGCGCACAGACAGGCAGGTCCGGTTCAACAGGGGTCCGGAGAAGGTTCCGGAGAAGGTCAGGTTCAACAGGGTTCCGGAGAAGGTTCCGGAGAAGGTCTGGGAGCCTTCGGTGCAGAGCCAGGTCAAGGTCAACAGGGTTCCGGAGAAGGTTCCGGAGAAGGTTCTAGGAAGCCTTGGTGCAAAGCCAAGTCAGGTTCCGGTGAAGGTTCCGGAGAAGGTCTGGGAGGCGTTGGTGCAGAGCTAGGTCACGTTCAAGGTTCCGGAGAAGGTTCCGGGAGGCTTTGGTGCAGAGCCAGGTCAGGTTCAGCGGTTCAGCAGGGTTCCGGAGAACGTTCCGCAGAAGCTCTCAGGAAGCCTTGGTGCAAAGCCAAGTCAGGTTCAACGGGTTCCGGAGAAGGTTGCGGAGAAGGTCACGGAGAAGGTTTTGGGAATCTTTAGTGCAGGGCCAGGACAGGTTCCAACAGGTTCAACAAGGTTTCCAGCGCTTGGCTTCGCAGCACGTTTCAGAAAGATTTGTAAAAATAAAACGTTGCGGCTGTTGAGGATACCACCGAAGCTTATTTGATATCCTTTCTCATTGTTGATCCTCTTCAGGGATAGCAGCAAGTCAGTAGTTCATCTCGACCGGCATGTTTGTTTTTGGATACAGATCGTGGGTGGCGAAAGCAAGATGGGTGTTTATAATGAAGGTCGTCTGGCACCGACTTACCCGGCAGTTGAGACTTGGTTGCCATAGGCGTTACCGCCAGGCGTGTCTGAGTACAGTTTTGCGCGTATGCCGGCGGAAGAAATGACAGCCAAGAATTATTTACAAGTGCAATTAAAGGTGCTATCAAAAACTTTCTTGGGTAAATTTCCCTGTCCTTTTCTCGACACCAATCCGGCCCGACCCCCACTGGCTCACAACTGTACGGGGAGCAGTATCAGCACGCGCAAAATTAGGACCCAAACCCACCTGGTGTCGCTCGCGCAACATAGCAGCTAAACACGAGGAAAAGAACTTCAACCACCAGGCAAGGTCAAGCCCACCCATAAAACAGCACTATCCAAGTGCCCAATAGAGAGGATAACAAACCTTGGAAGTTACCCACAGGCTGGTAAGTCAACAGGAGCACAGGCGTGCAGTTCCACACAAGAGGAAACACCCATCACTCACCGTTGAGCACCGCATTTTGCAAACAGTGTTAGCCATACAGCAACATCCCCGAGGGAAGGTGAATTTAGAGAGGGTTCGATTCTTTAGTGCAAGCCCTCGAGTGCAGTACAAAGAACAACACAACATTGCCAACTACGGCCTTGTCATAAAAAACAACACTGTCATTATTGTCACATACAACTCCGTGATGCGCGGCATTGTCGCATGCAGCCTTGGCACAAACAACCCTATCAAACACAGCTCTCTCACAGCATCAACGTCGCGCACAACATTGTCTTACGCAACTCTGTCACCCAACACCCTCTCACGCAACTGATGACATTCATGCCCATGCATGCATACAAAAGGTACCCTTTCTCACAGCGTCTTTTGTACCGATCCGTCTTGTACTTTCTCCTTTCGCTTTCCCGCATTCCCGTCCTCATTTTCCCAACCTATTGGGTACTTGTCGCAAGAAGTTGACATGTGGGGTTCTCTGGTCATTTGATTTTGCATCTTTACACACCATGCTGCTTTGTGATACTTTGTGATACTTTGTGATATTTTTCTATGCCATTTGAAGAAAATTAGTATGTATGCTTCCATGGTAGTGATATCCCAAAACCATTGATGATTTAATTTGACGTTTGCCTTCGGCTGCATTAACATCTTCTTTCTTGCTGGTGACCTTAGGTGGCCCTCTGGTGAACCAAGTCACATTCTCCAAGCCAGGGCTGATAGGCAGCTTTGGCCGTCGGCGGAGGATCCTATAGCTGACATGGAGAATCCCAGCCATGCTATATAAGTGACATGGTGGTCTTTGCAGGAGTTCTTTGGTGGCTGTTCAGTTGCATTTAGCGCCTTGGTTTTTCAATGTTCCTGGGAATCAGTGTTTTTTTCGCGCCCTTATTCATTCATTGAGTACACAAAGTACTTAAGTACTCAACGGTATCGTCTGAAGAGAATTGCAGACATCACCACTAGGATAAGAACAAACGTTGCAAACCTCTCCGGATTAATCTGCTCTAATTTTTGGCACTTTGTTCCATATATCCGCAGTTGGAAAAGCACTTCTTGTTCAAAGATACCCACCCACTGCCCTTGCTGGACGGAGGAATGGGCACAAATCTCCAGCACTCTGGTTCCGGGTCAATTTCGTATGAAGTGTACTAGTGGCCGAACTCATCCCTTGCCTTTGGGGGGCCAAAAACAAGGCCATGTACCTTTACTGGGTTTATTGAAATGGTCTCTTCTTCGCAACATGCCGCTTGCAGACCAAAACTTACACAGCATTCAAGCATCTACTTTCGTTTCTTGGTGCGACGTTCTTTAAATTTCAAAGGGCGGGTCCCCAACATCCAACATGGATCATGGATCCCAAGGTGTTGGCGCCCCCCATCCCCACGCAATGCCGTGCGACTGTGTGTGATGCTTGTCGTGCCTGTCCTGCCTGTGTCTCCTCTGTGCTGTTGGTGGTGTGGCGTCCCGCGCGCTGCGGGCCGCTGCACCCGGCGTCAGCGCTTTCAAAGAACGGCAGGGTTTTGTCGCCTGTGTGGGGGGATTCCTCGGTGCGCCGAATGTTACAAACTGGAAAAACATTAAACAAGCGATAGAAGACACTGGTACGAACACACTGAGATACTTTTTGCACCTCTTGTTTGGATGGGGATCCCAAGTGATTCGGGGACATCCGTATTTCACATTGGCTGGCAGAACTTACTATAGTCATGTTTGTTTGATCCGAGTAAGGCTCGGAGGAACTAAAGCAATGGCTAAGACCCACCAGCGAGGAAAGGGCTAAATACAATGCGATGCTTTCCATAGCCCCTTGATGAGGGCCTGGCTGGATCTTCAGTCGGGAATTGATGAATCTACCCAGTTTGGTTTGTCCACTTTGGTGACCAAGTCGCCAAATATTGGTATGCTCGGCCGACAAAACCAATCCTTGAAAACCTGCTTTCGCAGCCGTCTCGCCCGTCATAGATGTAGGCGTCCTTTCCAACTGGCCATTGCTGCTGGCAGAAAAAGTACTCACGACTGAAGCATCGTCGATATCGTCGGTGAAAAAGGTTGCGGCAAAACATGGGGCCGATTGTTGTCCATCTGCCATTTCCTGCGCGCGAAAATGGGAATGGCTTGGAAAGCAGCTGGCAACCACATGGACCCAACAATTCTATACACAAGTTGCTCAATAGGCATGACATGCAGGAAACAATCAGAAACATTCAAGCACCATGCGCTGATATCGAATACATTCAAAATCATTTAGTAAGAATTTTGAAAGACCCTGCCACATCCTGGCCAAATACGCCTGCAAACGAAACAGCTTTCCCAGCGTCACTGGAGGGACTCGGCGCCCCCAAGCGGTGAACCTCATGGGCCTCTTGGGCGTTGGGTTCATTCTGAAAGGGATGCCCCAACTCAGAATCAGCCAGCGCTCCAGGTCCAGGGCGGCCAGCCAGGCCAGCGAGGGCAAGTCTTAAGTCTGGTGGGGTCTCCGCCAAGTCCCGGCCATGGTGGCCATGGTGGCCACCGTGGCCATGGGGGCCGTGGTGGCTTTGGTGGCCGCGGCCCTGCTGACTTGCAGGTTTCACACCGTCCTTTGACACAGGACCGGTCGGAGGAACAGCACGGTCCCGCCCCAAACGTTTCATGGTCATGCGCCAATGCTCTGTGGGGACCAGTGCAAGCAGCTGGGCATAGGAACAAGAGTTTTGAGTTTCTCCTTGGATGTGAACAAGAACATCAAGAACCAAGAGCAAATTCTGCTGGCTTTACCAAACCCAAAAATGTTGACCAACTTTGAAAGAGTTATGTGAAAGAGGGGCAAAGAAGCAGAGCACATCTTCAACCACCTATGTATATGTTGTATGTGCTGTTGCACCAATGGCTCAATGCTGGCCCAATTTCAAGAAATTACTCTCTTCGAGTGATCCACACCAACTGACATCTATCGGCATTTTATTTGACTTCTTTGACATTTCATTTGAAATCTATTTTGTTTCAGTGTGTACCTGTTATATATTATGGCACCCTATTTTGCAGTCAATTTGACATCTATCTTGCATTCTACGTGACGTTTAATCTTGCATTCTATCTGCCGTTTTACCTTGCATTCGATCTGACATAATCATAATACTTTGAAATATCTTCTGACATGTTATCTGACATTATATACGACATTTTTCTGGCATTCTATCTGGCCTTTCAGCTTATATATTCTAAGCGAAGGAAGTTTAGGAGTCAAACTTCCGACTGACCGACAGATGCAGCAACAGAGGTGGGAAGAGTCCGGGAAGAGAAAGGAAGAAGAAAGAAGATCAAGGCGCACGAAAAGGTAGAACAGTCGCGAAACTTGGACCACTTTTTGAAGTTAGGATGTGGTTTTGTGCGGCAAGTGCAGTCGATTCTGCACCTTACCAGAAGTGAGCAAAACGGGAAAGTTTCGTAGCAAAAGCAGAAAAGATGGCAGGCGGGCGGCGTGGGACGCTTGAAGAGGATCTGCAAAGAAGCGTCTCGCGTGGCAGGCGCAGTACAAGAGACATCTCCATCAGATATGAAGCCGCTGCCGTGGCATTTGGATGTTTCAAAATCTATGTGGATGGTTCAAAATTTTAAGAAGCTTTTTATTATGCCCCAAACAGTGTGGCCACATTGAGAGGTTCTTACAGTAGGACGAGGCTATTAAGACAACTGGCTGCAGGCTCAACATTGTCAACATGAAATCCGCTTCATGGCTGTGATGGTCTCGATTCAAGCTGAGGAACTGCCATGAAGACCTTGTGAGTACATGGGCAAAGGCTGCGATGCCATAAAGAAGGAATTTTGCCAAACAGGTCAGAAAGAAAGCCAAGAAGAAAGGCCAGAAAGGCCAGGATGAGGTGATGGTGTCGACAGAGAAGATTGCGGGGGTCCTCAACGACAAGGCTGGGCTGACCTGCTTTCACTCCGACAATGTGTCCCTGCTTTCTGATTCAAATTTTGAAACATGCAAATATGATGTGACATGCAGGTGAATACTTGGAAAGCTGTGGCGGAAGTTGACGGTCATCACTACCTGATCGTGCTGTCTGTGACTGAAGACACCACTGGTGGGCTGTTGTGGCACATCAGCAGTAGATGGAATGGTTTGGATGGATGGTTGGGTGGATGAATGAATCGGCGTATGGATGATTTAATGGTTGAATGAATGAATAAATTAATGGATGGATGGGTGGATGGAATGGAACCCAATTGAATGGGATGGAATAATGGCAGTCACTGGGCTGAAGGAGTGGATGAGCAACAGTAAAAAACAAATGAATTATACCAACCACGTCAAATTCAAAAAAATGAAGAATCCAATCAAAAGGACAAGAAAACCCCACATGTTAAGCCTTCCGATTGCTATGAGACGAAGGTGATGACTTGGGATGGTGGGAGCAGGTGATGATTGGATAGGGAAGAGGTAGGTGGATAGCAAGATAGATACATACATAGATAGATAGATAGATGGATAGATAGCTAGATAGACACATAGATAGGTAGATAGATAGAAAGAAAGAAAGAAAGATAGATTAGATGAATAAATAGATAGATAGATAGATAGAGATAGATAGATAGATAGATAGATAGAGATAGATAGATAGATAGATAGAAAAATCAATAGATAGATAGAGAGACAGATAGATCGATAGATAGATAGATAGAAAGATAGATAGATAGATAGATAGCTAGGTAGATTGATGGATGGATAGGTAGGTAGATAGATAGATAGATAGATAGATATATTGTTAGATTCATAGATAGATAGGTAGATAGTTAGATATGTAGACAGAGAGACAGACAGCCTTTACACAGGGAAGCCTCTACACAGGAAAGTCTTTACACAGAGCAGCGTTTACACAAAGCACCTTTTACACACAGAAGTATTTAGACAGAGAAGCCTTTACACACAAACAGTTTTGCACACAGATGCTTTTACGCACAGAACAGCTTTTACACACAGACGCTTTTACACACAGAAGCAGCTTTTACGCACGGAGGCTTTTACACAGACAAGCCTTTCCACACAGACACTTTCACACACAGGCACTTTTACGCACAGACGCTTTTACACAGGGTAGCCTTTGCAGAGAGCAGCTTTTAGACACAAAAGCCTTTACACTTTACACACAGAAGCTTTTACATAGGGCAGCTTTTGCACAGAGACCTTTTACACACAGAGGCTTTTACGCAGAGAAGCCTTTACACAGAGCAGCTTTTACACAAGAAGCTTTTACACAGAAACGCTTCTGCACAGAGCAGCTTTTACACACAGACGCTTTTACACACAAACACTTTTACACACAAAGCAGGTTCTAGACACAGAAGTTTTCACACACAGAAGCGTTTACACGGGGGAAACTTTGCACAGAGCAGCTTCTACACACAGAAGTCTTTACGCAGAGAAGACTTTACTCACAGACACTTTTACACACAGGCCCTTTTACACACAAAAGCTTTTACACAGGGAAGCCTTTACACAGAGTAGCTTTTAGACACAGAAGCATTTACACAGAGAAGCCTCTACACACAGAAGCTTTTGCAAAGGGAAGCCTTTGCACAAAGCAACTTTTACACACAGAAGTATTTACACAGAGAAGCCTTTACGCAGAGAAGCTTTTACACATAAGCCTTTTACACACAGACGCTTTTACACACAGGGCAACTTTTACACACAGACGCTTTTACACACGGAGCAGCTTTTACACACAGGAGCTTTTACACAGAGCAGCTTTTACATACAGAGCACACAGGGAAGCCTGTGCACAGAGCAGCTTTTTGCACACAGAAGATCACAGAAGTAGTCACACAGAGGCGCCTTTACACACAGAAACTTTTACAGACGGCAGCTTTTGCACAGAGACCTTTTGCACACAGAAGCTTTTACACAGAGCAGCCTTTAAACACAAGCGCTTTTACACACAGACACTTTTACACACAGAAGGTTTTACACAGGGAATCCTTCGCACAGAGCAGCTTTTACACACAGAAGCATTTACACAGAGAAGCCTTTACACACAGAAGCTTTTACACACAGAGCAGCTTTTACACAGAAAATTATTAACCAGTCTGAAACCAGCCTGAAACTGTCTGAAAGCACTTTGAAACCTATCTGAAAACAGTTTGAAGCCATCCTGAAACCAGTCTGAAACCAGTTTGAAACCAGACTGAAACCAGTGTGAAACCAGTCTGAAACCAATCTGGAACCAGTCTGAAACCAGTCTGAAACCAGTCTGAAACCAGCCTGAAACCAGTTTGAAACCAGGTTGAAACCAGCTTGAAACCAATGTCGGAAACCAGTGCCTGAAACCAGTGTGAAGCCAATTTGAAACCAGTTTGAAACCAATCTGACACCAGTTTGAAACCAGCCTGAAACCAGTCTGAAACCAGTCTGAAACCAGTCTGAAACCAGATTGAAACCAGTTTGAAACCAATGTCGGAAACCAGTGTCTGAAACCAGTGCGAAACCAATTTGAAACCTGCAGCGTCCAGCGCCCAGAGACTCTACGGAGAGTCACCAAGTTCCGCACCTGCCACGCGAGGCAGCCGCGGCGTCCAGTGTTCAGAGCTGCGGCGTCCAGCATCCAGAGCCGCGGCGTCCAGCGTCCAGAGACCCTACGGAGAGTCACCAAGTGCCGCGCCTGCCACGCGACATCAGCTACAGAGCCCCCTTGATAGAGACAAGTTGATACTTGATAGAGACAAGATAATAGAGACAAGATGACAGAGACAAGATAATAGAGCCAAGATGACAGAGACAAGTTGATAGAGACAAGTAGAGAGAGACAAGGTGATAGACACAAGGTGATAGAGACAAGTAGATGGAGACAAGTAGAGAGAGCAAGTGGATAGAGACAAGTAGAGAGAAGAAGGGATAGAGACAAGTGAATGGAGACAAGTTGATAGAGCCCCCTTGATAGAGACAAGTTGATAGAGACAAGTGGATAGACAAGTTGATAGAGACAAGGTGATAGAGGCAAGTTGATAGAGACAAGTTGGTATAGACAAGCTGATAGAGACAAGTTGATAGAGACAAGTTGATAGGCGGCGGGTGATAGACGGCAGGAGGCGGCGGGAGGCGGATGTGGAACAAAAAGTTAGAACCCAAAATAGTGATGTGGGGAAATACATTTAAAACATCCAAATGCCATGGCAGTGGCTTCATGTTAGGAGATGCATTTTCGTGACAGGTGCAGCACTTCGTATGACCTGGCCTCACTTTTTCGTGGCAGGCGCAGCACCTTAAAAAAGAGATGGCATGGGTAAATCGCAAAACGCAATGGTACAAGGCCGTCAGCTGTGCACTCAACTTTCCATTTTGGAAAAAGTCTCGGAGAATTGTTTCGTTTTTGATGTTGTCACTTTCAAAAATTGAAGAAGTCTCGCCGAGTTTCTTCGTTTTGGAGCTGTCAACTTCCATGTTTGGATGATGTCTCAAAGAATTGCTTCGATTTGGATCTGTCACCTTCCACTTTTAAAGGAAGTCTCGCATAATTGCTTTGAACTAGACAGATAGATAGCTAGATAGAAACAAAGGGCGGGGGGGAGAGAGAGAGAGAGAGAGAGATACATAGATACATACATAGATAGATACATAGATACATAGATACATAGATAGATAGATAGATAGGTAGGTAGGTAGATAGATAGATGAATCTAAAAACAGATAGATAGAAAGATAGAAAGATTAGATGAATAAAT